GTCTTGGAAATGCACAAAAAGCTTCTTGAGAGGTTATACACCATATCGCTTGAGAGCTTTGCTTAAACTCGGCATGACATTATATGCCTGATAGGATCTTCTGAGTTCAATGATGGAACCCACCTAAGGAAAAGAAAGATGCATCAAACAAAATGCAGAACATGGACATCAACCCTCAAAGTTATTCTACACGACTTTGCCATGGTAAGTGCATTGTACAATTTACAAGCCCTTAAATAAGGATTGTACTTACAATTATTAAGACTGATGTAAACCCAATTGCAAAGCCTTCATTAATACGGCGTAAGCAATGATCAAGTATGGTTGAGGTAGTTGCTAAAACACTTAGCAATAGCCCCCCTGCATAATTTACACCAGGGAGAACAGCCAAAAAGAGAGTAAGAAAAGAAAAAGAAATTGTTTCAATCCTTCACCTTTAAATTGAGAAACTTCATATAGCATTATGTTATTTATCCTAATAAACTCTGATACAGAAACATACCCCAAAAACGTGTTGATGCCTGTATCTTTGTTAGGTATTCAATAGTGGCCTTCCCAGGCTTTATATTTGGAATTCTGGCACCCATCTTATTCAAATAATCCGCAATTTCCTTTGGCAAGTTTGCCTGAGCCAAGAGTTCACAAATAAATGTCAGCTAAATACGAAGCAAATGATACCAGCAGAAGTTAAAGACAGCACTGTACTGATCTCCAAACAAATGAACTATTCAGACACAACTATGGATTAATCACATAATGGAAATTTCCAGCTTCATTGCAATTCTAAACAACATGCATGAGATGATGGACCTAAATAATGCACCATTACTGTCAGCCATATTCTGTTCTTCAAGGGCCCTCCTTAATTGTCTTTTGTGGGGTGGGGTAGGGGCTTGGGGTGGTGGGAAATGTTCAGATCTATTTTCATGCATCAATCATCACCAGGTCACACATTCTTTCTGTTACCACATGAGGTGATGTGCTTACCTTCTATTTTCTAATCTTTCCAAAGTATTTTTAAATTGGCAAAGATATAATGAAACAGATGAAACATTAAAAGAATTAAAAAGAATCTTTTTTTACATACATACTTTTTCTCATTTGGATAAGCAAGTATATGGTGATACCTAGAAGGAAGGTAATTACCACATGAAAGGAAATGATCATAATGATGGCAAACAAATTACCATTAGTTCTAGAATTACAATGGTTGAAAAATACTTACAATATCAAAAATATTGAATAGGAAGACAAAAAATGCATATAATGAATAGTAGACCCAAGGCTCTGCACCAATAGAAGTTTCAGGATTCAATATCTCCTTTACATGTCTCCAAAACGGTGAATCAAGTATGCTGCAAGGAATGCTTCATATTAGAAATTAACAGTAGTTATTCACAGAAACAGCGTCATGAGTCATCCATGATTTATTTCAACTCTGCTAAGTTATAAGAGGCAATGAAAATTGCACCTGATCTCAGTCATCATAGGTTATTTTTCTTCCAATGATACGAATAGGAAAACTGGATTTGAAGCAAATATGTAAATTAGTTGCAGCCGCAATTACCTTGCAAGAATACTTGGAAATGCCAAGAGATAAGTGGTGGTGAGTACAGGCTGCATTCCTGATGGGTTAATATTAAAGGGGATATAGGGCTCAACTTCAGTAATTGGGGAATCTTCTCTGTGTTGCACCATAAAATGAACATAATGAGACCATGAGTGTGGCTATCATATAAGCATATAGTTTACAGTTATTGAATAAACAAAAGAATCTATAATCTTTTAAGGAAATTAATGCAGCTGTACAATTAATGTCTACACAACATTACTCATTTTTTCAGGGTACTAAAGCAATGGCATATAAAATTTCCAATTTTCTCTACCTCAAAGAACTGCCTCCATAATCAATCAAAGAACCTTTTCCTTCACCATATATATTAATTCACATCAGTAGAATTAAACTCACAACCATTCTTTCAGCTAGAGGCATGTAATTTCTAAGCAACAACGCATAGTTTTACCTTGCAGCAGATGCAAGTTTGAATCCATAATACTGCAGCTTTATTTTCCTGCAGCCCTCAGTTACAACAACTGCCCACATGGTGACTATAGTAAAAGCACTCAACACCATGAGCATGTAAGGCCACCAACTACCAGCACTTCCTGCAGTTTTTAGCTTAAAATCAGAACAGTTGTAATACTCTAACATAAGGAAAGAAAAAAAAAACAAATATTAAGAAAATTTAAACAAATTCACAACATTCGTGGCTTTATGTGTCTGCACATTCAGGATTAAGAATGGTTATTAGCAGTTTACACTAGAAGCAGTAATCATTAGAAGCCTGTTTCCATGGTACCTATAGGACCTCCTTCATCTACCCTAGATGCATATACCACCATCAATTCAATGTCTGTTCAGGAGCTCAAGATATGTTATTTTGGGTTTTCATCCTACTACATTTATTTGAATCTTTATACATTGAAACTGATCAATCATTCTCCCTCTGCTCTGTTTGGTTGTCCCACTATGGGGTTGCACACTTATAGAGACAACCTAGGGAAAAACTAAACACACATGATTAGAGATTGAAATTCCAGATTTATCCCTAATAAAAGCTCTCTCCTTATCAATAGGTTAGAGTAAGAGGGGTAAATTTGGAATACAAGCATTTAATGTCTCCTATAAATAGAAAGTGGGACAACTAAATAAAAACACACCAAATTAGAATGTATGCCAACTAAATAAAAACACAGGGAGTAATACGTTGAACCATGGTGCACAATTTTCTTTAGAAAATCAGGCTTTACATTCTTTCTTTCTTTGGTAAAGGAAGTTTCACATTCTCATTCTATGGATTCAAGGATTATCCTGGCATAGCTTGATATCATAGTTATTTTAAGCATTTAAGCTCAAAAGAAAAATGATTTTCCTTTTGTGCTTTGAACATAATGCAGATTACATAACACAAACTAATAAGATTAGAATTCCTCTTCAAAAGGAGCTTTTGAGATCTTTTTATGCCTTGGAGCAGACAGGAAAAAAGTCAAATTCCTAAAAACTAAGAAAAGGTGTTTTGATTTGAAAGGATTTATTCCCTGGAAAACGTTTAGAACAAACTTGAAACACTATGCAGAATGCCATAATTTCTATTAAAAAAAACAGACCAACTGAACTCTTTACTTTTTAAAGGACTGGATGAAGAAAAAAAAAATCCATATATTCTGATATAGAGCAATCAGAATATAATGTCAAAATATTCAAGCTTAATCTGTTAAGGAGTAAAATCCATAAAACTCGAATCATCCTGACACAAAGCCTCCTACAACCAATTCCATCTTTCAAAACCTTCATATTATTCACAGAAACAAAGAAGAGAGTACTAAGTGTGACAAATTCCCAACATAACAGGAATAAAGCCATCTCTTAACACATACCCCATAGCTGAGTTAACATCTTGTACAATGTGTCTGTGTAGCCAGTCAATATTCCAACACAAATAACCAGGGATGAGCCTTGACCTGAAACATGCACAAGCAGTAAATAAAGAAGAATTGTAATCCTGGATTGAATATTAACCAATAGCACTAATCCACACTTCCCAACCCTCCCCTCTCTCATTTTCCTAGGTTCTGAACTAGCTAAAATCTTCTTGACTAATAACAAGGGGTATTTGTGCGCATGTAAGAAAAATACAGAGCCTCTAATTGATAACCTACTTTTTGGCTCTGATTAGAAGTTTGAACCCTCACGAAAATCCTAGAGATTAGTCTATGACTCTCCCATCTTAACACTATAACATTACAAAGACATAATTAATTTGCATCACTTTTTCCCGTTCAGAAAGGTGTCTCACATCTTATAAACCTTGTTGCATATCAATGTTAATGATGCAGAACACTAGTGGTAAGCAAATGACATTGCTGGAATCATAAACACTAATAGTAGGCAAACAACATTGCCAAAGTTCACAATGTCATCAAGAAAACTCAAAAAGCTCCTCCTAAAAGTTTAGCAAGAACATGGATGAATGCTTATTGTTATTTTATTTACCAAATCCAGATTCTGATATTGTATCGCAGATCCATGTCATAGTCATTGCACCACAAACCAACAAAAAGGCAGTCACCATCACATGCTTAACCCTGTAAAAGCCATAGAAATGCAGTCAATGTAACTTAATAATGTGATTCTGAATATACAGCATAGTAGTATGCTATCAATTGAAACAGATGATTTGATGAAAAAAATGCATGCCCACCAGCATAAAAGACCTTTCCACATTGATTTCAAGATGTGTAAAATAAATCTATGAAAGGCCTACATTTCCAATTCTAGTGAATTCCTTCTAAGAAAGCTAAAATAAAAAAAACATATATTATATATTATTTTAACTAGCATCCTTATTACTGGAGTACCTGTAACTTGCTGCATAAATTGAGTATGGAAGTGAATGACAAGCGACTATCACAGCTTCCAAGATTGCAAAGCCAAGTGACATCCACCATCTGAAATAGAATGGAAAATTATATTCTCTGTAACTTTGAAACCTATTAACCATAACAGTACACAGCAAATATCATAGCAAGGATCCGTCTCCCTGCTCGAGATGAATAACTAGACACACATATAACTCTTAATCTTCTCATGGGCATCTAAGCCTTCCTTCCGAAGCTTTACAAAGGATGGAACAACATGACAGAGCACCTGTTTGCCCAATTCATTAGATATTTTAGAATTTAAACACTTAAGATGTAAAGTAAACACACAGATACACATATAAAGATTTACACCTATCATTCAGGTAGAAATTAGTAACAGGATAGGCGGGCCAATCAAAAAAATCAAAAATAATAACAGGATAAGTGGGATAATCATAGAACATTATTTTGCAAGGCATGTAAAATAAAGTGCAAATGCTCACGAAATCTGCAAACCTGCATAATTATTGATGCTATTATCTGGGGGCTGATTCCAAGCTGAAAAAGGGACATTTTTAGCTCTGCTGCAGAATCTCCTAGTTCATCAGCTGTAAACAGCATCAATACATTCACATCCATTACCTTAGAGAACAGTTCCTCCAAAACATTCACCTTAAAGTAATAAAATCAAAAGACACAAAAAAACCCTGAAAGTGATGAATAGAGTATTTATGTTTATCAGCTGTTTTGTAGATTCATAAAACTTACCAGCAGATCCTGAGACAAAGCTAAGGTAATCTTGAGGTATTAACCTGCGGTCAAATCCTGGTAGAGGAATAAAATAACCAATTCGGCTGATTAAGATCAGTACAGCCGTCACAAATAACCTCCTCCGAATCTCACTCTTAAAGAATGATTCTGCTGCATTGTTAAGTAAAGAGCTTAGGCGTACAAAGTTCAGAAACCTATTTCCAAACATTTTAGGTCTGTAGTGAGAAGTCTCAAAGTTATTAACACTTTGCAAATTAGCAATCCCAGCCCTATCAGTGGATCTTAATTGAACAACTTCACCATTTAGAGACTCCCCAGTAGTTGGCTCAATACTTATATAGTCTCTTCGAAGCTGATCAGAAGAATTCATAGACCATTTTCTATTGCCTCTTGATAGCAATGGTTTATTTAGCAGAAAAAGATGACTTCCTCTGGGGTTTACTACAATCCTTTTGAAAGTAATGCAGGTTGGACACAGTGGATCATCAAATCGAAGATTAAGCGGCATATGGCTACCTGTGTACCATAAAGATCAAAACTTTACTGAACAAATTGTTTCATAATTTCATAACATTATGAAAAACAGCGTTTGACACAGAGATACAGAATACCCATCAAGAGAAAATAAAAACCCAATTTCATAAAGCCACTAAAAATTCAACAAAAGCATAACCTCTGTAAATAAATAGAAGCAACAAAGTAAAACTGGCATGTCAATCATTGAAGCAGTTCAGCTTCTTTTGCTTTGTTTTCTGCTGAGACAAAAGAAAGAAAGAAAAAAAAAAACAAAAAATCCTATGTTTTCTACTTCTAACCAACCTGGAATTTTCAAAGACTTTGTTCCAAAGAGTTGGGGTTTGAAGTGATGAGAGTTGAGAACACCTGCTTCCATTGGCGAAGAGGTTGAGCTCCAAAATGCGAAATGCCGCCGCACTGCCGCTATATCCAGAAGTATTTTTGCCGATACTCTACCTTTTAACCTATTTTATAAATTGTAAATCGTTTTCTTATTGGGTCCATTTTCGAGCTTGCAGCTATGTGGCAGGATGGTATTGGGTCTGAAGAACCTGGTCGCAGACTTGCAGTTAAGGATAAAGATCTTTGTATTTTTAATGGGTGGTCCCTAGACTTCTAAAAGAAGTTCGATTTTGTCCCCAACCTCTCAATTTAGGCAAATGAGATACAATTGACCTTAACCTTCTTGAATCTTTTAGTGTTTGTTTAGATAAAAATTAGTAAAAGAAAGGAAAGAGAGGAGAAGGGAAGGAAAAGAAGGAGAAGTGAAGGGAAGGAATCAAGGAAATGATTGAAATTAACTTTGTTTAAATAAATAAAAGTAGAGGAAAGTAAAGGATAATATTTTTATTTAATTAAATAATTTTAAAAAAATAAAAAAATAGAATAAAAATTTTAAAATTTGTTAAATTAAAAATAATTAATATAAAATATATTTATATATTTATTTTTAAAAAAATTAAAAATATATATATAAAGCCAATTTATCTAAGTTCTTCCAATTTGGAGGAATTGAAAATAGAGAAATGAAAATGGTTACATCTCCCTAAATCTCCCTCCTCCTTTATTAACATTAGTAATCCAAACACAAGAATGAGGCCTCTCTACCTTCTTCTCCTTCTCTTCCCCTTCAACTTCTCTTATCCAAACTAAGGCTTCGGAAACGGCAAAAAGAATAGTTCATTCATTATGTGCTCAATTCATGGCTCCATTAAGTCCCTCTCCTTCTTAATTCGCTTCAATTGTGTTAATTTGAATATAATAATTGGATTCACATCATTTATATTTATTATAAATATTTTGTATTTAGGATATTCTTTTTGTATATTAGTGTTATCAATACTGAATAGCAGCAAATAGTGGAAAGACCAAAATTCGCTATAATAGCGTAGTGGCTGCTATACACAAATAGCGGGCATTTAATAAAAAAATAAAAATAAAAATTTAATAATTAAAATAAGAGACAAATTTAGTAATAAAAGGCATAAAATAACTTAAGAATTTATAAAAATTATCAAAAATTATAAAAAACAATATTCTCAAGTCTCAACAAATAAAAATCATAGTTTAGAATGATCAAATAAGACAATAATATACTTAAAAAGTACAAAAGTCAAACAAGATCAATTCTAGAAAAAAGTCAGATAATAGAACTTTAAAACAAAAAATCATTTAAGAGTCTAATAATCCTCATCACTCTCTTCTACTTCTAATTCTTCTTGCTCAGCCACCAAATCATTATCATCCTTGTCTTTCTGACTTGTTCCACCATGCTCAAACTCCTTTTTTCCTCCTTTGACTTTTCAAGATCTAAAGTATGAGCCGCTTAACTAATTCTAGTAGCATAAATTGCATCAACACTAGAGGTTGTAGCTAGAATTTTAAAGGTTAGTGTTGGAATTTGAGAGGTCTGAGGCTGCAGTTGCATTTATTTTTGCTTGTCCCCTAGTATAAGTTCTAATTTTTCTTGCCCCTAGTATAATTGTAATATAAACTTGCTAGTTGCTTCAATACAGAAAAAAAAAAAAAAAAAAAAAAGGAAACAGAGGCACAATTGTAGAAGCAGAACCAAGCAAAGAAAAAAATAATTGTCACATGCTTTTGTGTCTAACTTTCTATTTCTAATTCCAACTTTTTGTTTTGGTGTCAAAAAAGAAAAAAAGAAAAAAAAGAGAGGAGAAAGACGACACTTGCAAGAT